TTGACAACTTACAGACAGACACGGAAAACATTGACAAACAAAATAAAGGATAGAAAATAATAGTGTTGTAGCGAAAGCTCGTTCGTTATCAGTTTTCAAGGTGAGCAAGTGAGGCGCACTCGCTTTTAGCAATCGAGGCGGAAAGGGGGGAAAGACAAAGAAATGAAAGTGGTTAGGGAATTATACACACAACAAAAATTCGCATTTAAACAAGTCTAATTCAAATCAAATCAAAGTCAATTTACACTTAAATTTTAAAATCATACGTGAATAACTGAAAAAGAATAAACCGCATTATAATACGAACCTCTTATAATCAACTTTTACAAACTCTAGCTTAACGAACACAACGATGTTGGTAACACGTCTTAATATTATAGAACAATAGAGAACAAAGAATAAGTTAACTAACTAATCGCGCTTATAAATCTAACCTATATACAGCACATGTCGCCCGACAGATGACCACCTTGACGACGAACCGTCTTAGCCTACTCAACTAAAAGAGAAATTCGCCTGGACGATTTTCTATTTGAACAATTTATGACGCGCACCGTAATTAGAATAGCTAGCTGGCGTGTGCATGCCTTGTTACCTACCTGACGGTTACAATTACTCACTGTGCCGTACCGCTGAAGAGAGAGAGAGAGAAAGAGAGAGAAATTAACTTCCGAGACTTGACCTTCAATGCGGGAACGAGAGGCCTGGCTGCGCCCTGCGCACGACGTTGCTGGCCGTCGCTGGGCAATTTCTGCCGGCTTCTCCGGGTAGCGTCCCGAGCATATGCTGGAACAAGGCAGTCGTCCTCTGTCCTCTTGGTTCTCCTCGTCACAGTGTTGGATGCAATTATTCGTTTATATGGATCAGGACGCCGGGGGTAATAAATCAATATCTCAAAGGCTGGAAGCCTTTGGTCTACTACAACTGAATGACAAGACAATGATGACGAGGATAGTCGATAGCCTTTTGCTAAACTATTTGGAAACGGGAGGAGAGCGGAGAATACCGTGAATAAACCATTCCGATGTTCATCAAGTAGGAGCTCTCAACAGTTACATCTTCGTTGAAATCTGAAAAAACTCTAGGATGGATGGGAATTCTCCTGGAGATATATAACGCGAGCTTAACATCGGAACACTTTGATAAACGCTGGAAGACGGCCCGCTTGGTTGTTCTGTATAAGAGTAAGAAGCTGCTGTCTTCCTACAAACATCTGAGCTTATTGGATACCGCAGGTAAAGTATTTGAATTGTTATTGAGACCACGTCTGATGGACGTTATAACGGCTGACGGGGAAATAACGGATAATTAGCATGGTTTTCTCAGTTCTAGCGACGCTGAGCATTCAGGTAGAAATACCTTTAATTCGGCCATATGAGGGATATCAAAGAAGTCTTACAGAACTTCATGCTTCTTATTTGGAACGCATGATGAAAGATTAATTTAGAGACAGAAATATAACGTAAGAGATAATAGAAGGACAGGTAAATAGACAGATAACCGCGAAGATGACGCAGAGATTCATAGTGGAACCGGACTTGTGGAAGGTAGTCTATGACGGATTGGAGATATCAGTGAGTATATTTTTACAAGTTATCTATTCAAACAATGTAGCATTAATAAAAATTGCTCAGATTCTAGAGCTAGCACAACTGGCGTTAAACATGGCCATGATAAAGAATGGTAGATGAATAGGATAGCATGGATTAAGCTTTGCGTTAGTCAAGACAGAACTACTGTTACTAACGAGACAGAGAATACCAACAATCATACCGAAGAAAGTTGGTACGGTACCGATGGAGACCAGGGAAGCGGTGAAGCAGCTAAGGGTTAACTGATGTAAATCTAACTTTCTGGCCCCATATTCGGAAAAATGCCGACTTTTAATGTAACGATCCACTCAGATGAAAATTGTCTCGTAAGAGGCAGTCTTGTTTGGTTATCACACGCGTGATCCCTATAGATCTTCTAGCCAAGGACCGCAAAAGAATTTATAAAAAGAGCGTAAACATTGGACGAGTAAATACCGCAGAAATTGAAAGCGCGGTTATTATGACGGAATGAGAAAAATACTGGATGACAGACTCCATTGAAAAATGAATTCGACAACTGATAGGCGGATAGTAGGATAGAGTTTACTAATAATTTATTCATTAATAATTTATTAATATATATTAATAATTTGCACAAATAACGCAAGCATGCTTTCTCAGATTGTGATCGTGTACTGATAAATTGATTGAAAAGTGAATAATTTGGTAATCTTTGATTTTTTTTTCATATCTTCGAAATCTTTGAATTTGTGCTACTTTTTCTGGCACGAGCTATATATCATATAAGGACTTGAGTATAAGATGTCTAATCCAATTAGTTTTTTTAATTTTAACTTTAGTAGGTACATCTTGAAAAGATTTTTTGAGTCACCTATACATAGTAAACGAAAACATTTTCTATTTTCTTTGTGATTTACCACGATTCAACTTTTTTAACACAATCTTTTTTCGACACACGTTGGATCACTCAATATTTGGAATTCATTTATATTATACACTTTCACATAATAATTAGTAAGAAAACAATATTATAAACTAGAAAATGTATTCGCAAACATAGCTCAAACTTATTTGATAGATATAGACTCTTTTTATCCGAAAATATACAGTCTACTTAAGTTCCTGGAAAAAGTCAAACATAAACACTTGCGTAAGCAAAATAGTATTTAACCACACGTTGTAGTTTCCTTTGACACTTATGATATACTTATTGAGTTTTACTGATCAATTTTTTTTATTTTTTTTTCAAATATTAATAAAAAAATTTTATATTTAAATCTGTTACTTTCGCAAAATTTTTTCCGAGTATAAATTTGGAGTACGATGTCAAATTTGATATTTATGTCAAAACATACAACGAGGATAAGATATTTTTGGAAATTTCTTAGTGCAAAAAGAAAACAAAAATGCTGCCCAAATAAAAATAAAAGCGTTTATATACAATAATTACATTTGAAACTTTAAAAAATGCTGTATCGGTGATTTAAAATCAATGATATCTTATTAGAATAAGTAACTTAGAAGACATATATCTACTCAAATTTCAATTGTCAGTTGATTTTATTTAATTGTCTTCCAAGTCAACCTCATAAATTTCCACAAATATAAAAAATAAAACAATAAATCAAATATACACTCCCGCCCAATAATCTTTGCCCACCTAAGAACAAAACGACTATAACTTTGAAACTCCATATCTCGGCTGGAAATACACCTACAGATCTTTGCGGGGGCTCATTTAAAAGGGTTTTTCGAGCACTTTTCAATGGTGTATATTAAAATTATGCTTAGATATTTCCCTTGCAGATAGGACGGCGAATATCAAAACAAAAATTACGAAATTTTTGCTTTTTCTTTAACCGCTTGCCATTTCGAGAAAAAAAATCGTAGAAAAATTCTAAACATAGCATTTTTTAGCTCTTTTTCTACACTATCCAAAACACTCATTTAAAAATAATTTTCGTCTAAATTCAGCGATTATATGAGCATTTCATTCAAAAACAGCATCTATATTCATTGCTCTGTATCTCGGAAAATTCGAATTGTAGAAAAAAATTTTCTTGGAAGAAAATGCTCTATTTTGTAAGTAGAATACGTGAACGAAATTTCATAATCATATGAAAACATTTTTTTTTCAGTCGTAATATCAAGTAGGCTAATTTTTTCAATATTTCACTTTGGAATAATAAAACAGATCATTTATACTCGAAGCTATTCTATTAATTGTAGACAAATTTTAATTGTATGCAAATCTCGATCAACGAAAAATCTAAGTAGAAAAATTAATCTAATCTACCAAAACTAACATAACTAATGATTAGTGACAAAAATTTTTTTTTAATGTTGTTCTAATCTTCTAAAAAATTGTTTACCATAGTAACATATTATTGAAGTATGGCACCGAGAGATTTTAGTAAACGTTATCAAGTTATTGGATTTCACATAAATGGTAAAAGCAATCGTCAGATTGCTAGTATTCTCAATATTCCTCGTCGAACCGTAGACTACAATGTAAATAAATTTAAAAGTAGCGGCAGTGTTGAAGACAAGAAGCGCTCTGGTAGACCGCGGAAACGATTGCTTTTACCATTTATATGAAATCCAATAACTTGATAACGTTTACTAAAATCTCTCGGAGCCATACTTCAATAATATGTTACTATGGTAAACAATTTTTTAGATGATTAGAACAACATTAAAAAAAAATTTTTTTTACTAATCATTAGTTATGTCAGTTTTGGTAGATTAGATTAATTTTTCTACTCAGATTTTTCGTTGATCGAGATTTGCATACAATTAAAATTTGTCTACAATTAATAGAATAGCTTCGCGTATAAATGATCTGTTTTATTATTCCAAAGTGAAATATTGAAAAAATTAGATTACTTGATATTACGACTGAAAAAAAAATGTTTTCATATGATTATGAAATTTCGTTCACGTATTCTACTTACAAAATAAAGCATTTTCTTTCAAGAAAATTTTTTTCTACAATTCGAATTTTCCGAGATACAGAGCAATGAATATAGATGCTGTTTTTGAATGAAATGCTCATATAATCGCTGAATTTAGACGAAAATTATTTTTAAATGAGTGTTTTGGATAGTGCAGAAAAAGAGCTAAAAAATGCTATGTTTAGAATTTTTCTACGATTTTTTTTCTCGAAATGGCAAGCGGTTAAAGAAAAAGCAAAAATTTCGTAATTTTTGTTTTGATATTCGCTGTCCTATCTGCAAGGGAAATATCTAAGCATGATTTTAATATACACCATTGAAAAGTGCTCGAAAAACCCTTTCAAATGAGCCCCCGCAGAGCTCTGTAGGTGTATTTTCAGCCGAGATATGGAGTTTCAAAGTTATAGTCGTTTTGTTCTTAGGTGGGCAAAGATTATTGAGCGGGAGTGTATACTGCTATAACCTTTTAAGATAACCATAAGCAATAACTTACTTTCAGTACAACGTTTACCCGTCCATCCAGGTACACATCTGCAATGTCCATCATTAGCTCTGCACCTACCATCATTTTGACATTTACAGCGCTGAGTGCAATTCGCTCCATATGTGCCATTGGAACAGCGACTTTGACATTGTTCACCTTGCCAACCGGGTAAACACTGGCACGTTCCGCTTACATGATGGCATTCGGCGCCATTTTTACAGTCACACTGATGAATGCAATCTTGACCAAAATAATCTGGTGAACAAGTATGTTCACATGTAGTACCTTCATAACCTGGAGGGCAATAAAATTGCCCTGTTATATGATTGCATGTTAAATTGTCTGTGAAAATAATAAAAATACATGTACTATACGTTTGTTCAAATTTTGATTTAATAAAGCTTTTAAAATTAAGGTTGATAGCAAATTCGCACGCATAATTTAGTTCAGAAAATTGTTTTATGATTTTATCATTAATTCATATATTGCATAAGAGCTTATATTTACATTTGTGACAGAGCCCTGGCCGGAATGGTCGGCCCTATCCGGCTTGTTCTCTCTGTCTCTCTCACGGCTCGCTCTTTCGCTATGGCCCTGGCGAGCGTAGTGGAAATCAAGAACCGATACCGATGCTCGCAACGCTTTATTTCAGGACCAATACCTGTGTTGAGCATCTTCATTGGGAGCCTATCGGGAGTGAGAGCGGCTGCAACAAAGAAAAGAGAGAGGAATAGTTGCGACGCGTGTAACGAGTGAGCGAGCGTGAGTGACCTGCGACGATCCGTTCGCAAAAGCAAAGCTGCCGGGGTTACTCGAGTAGGCACGCGCGCGGTTGCGAAGGAAGTTCGAGCCGAGATCTTGAGAGGAAAAGATCGACCGTGACGGCCGAGAGCGCGCGCGCTATAAGAACCTGAATCATCTAGCAAGGAGAAACAAAGAATCGAGATAACGCTGAACAGATTGCGGCCAGGAGAAATTTTCCAGTGACGCCCAAGGCATTAAGGATTTCATCTCAGCCTGCCGTCAACGTGCTTGCAGTTCCAGCAACAGTTCCTGTCAGCAGCAGTAGTATAGCAATGTATGTTCCAGCACACCTGCGGGGGGTCTGTAACCCTTTGGCCCCACCGAGCTTAACCCTTTGGCCCCCTGGCTTAACCATTTCATATTAATAATAATTATTATTGTTAATAATATTCGTGGGGGGGTCGCTGGTTTAACCCTTTGATTCCCTGGCCTAACCCTTCCATGTTAATTGTTATTAATATTAATAATTGTTTATAATTTTTTGAGGAAGGTTTCTAGGGCTCCTAGTCCCTAGGGCTCCTAGTCCCTAGGGACCCTATACCTAGTGCTTTCAGTATAATTAAATTTAAATGTTTTTTTTTTAAAGTTATAAATATATATTATTGACAATTTACTTGCTACATTGAGAATGAAACGAATAGAAAATAGCCACGATTTTTTGAAAAAAATGAAGAGACAGACCGGAGAATCGAACCGGAGTCCTCTGGGTTGGCAGGCTAGCGTTCTACCACTAGAGCCAATGCCACATATATCTTAGAGGATGCATATTGTGTATATTAGCTACACATGCATACATTTGGTATAGGGCCTGAGCGTGCGGAGGAGGAGGGGAGCGCATGCTGTCTATAGTTCTGGCCTGATAGGGATGCGCTACTATAGTAGTAGTAAACGTGCGCTCTCTCTCTTTCTCTCTCTCTCTCTCCTACGCAGCTATGCTTACTACCTACCCTCTTATTTTAAGTTAACTATGTTTATCACAAATGTAGATCACAACTGGTTAGAGGGTGATCAAGCTTCTCCACTACTTTCTGGAAGAGAAAAAAAGAGAGCACTATGTTTTATTACCAACCCTCTTTATCTTATACTCATAGTGTAGAAAAAATATTACCTATTAATATTACGAGTCAGTCTCAAGAGAAACTTTGAGTTGGTCACAGCACATTGTGAAATTAGTTTTTCATAAATATATTTGTGAACAAATTTTTGTTGGTGAAAAAAAAAATGGAAAATATAGTTAGTGTTTGTCAGCTTCTAGAAACCGTAAGTAAACATTTTAAAAATAAAAAATAATTTATGTATATATATATAATTTTAATAATTTTTATTTATAATTTATAGAGTACTAATGATATCCCGCGCGAGCTACTGTATCGGCTGCTTATTGTTATTTTAAACGCAGTAAGGTCTTTTTTATATTATTTAATATTTAATATTTAAATATTTATTTATTTATTTATTTTCAGTTGCTTAGGTGTGCAGGCAACGCACAACACGTTGCCCAACTCACCCAGATTATTGCGATTGTTCGTGAAGTAAGTATATTAATATTATTATTTAATTCTATACATGTACTTATACAGATTTTTCATTTTTCAGTGGATCAAAGAATCAATGACTGAAAGACTGGTCGCACAACAATTGGCCTATCATATTGAGAAGACCGTAGAAGAGCGAGTGAGGGCGCAGCCTTTCTGTCACCAGAAGCGCGCAGAAATAATGAGAAAAAAACAAAAATTCTCACGATTAGAGCGCAAGAGAAAAGCTGAGCTGGCTAAGACGGTGCAGGATGAATTAGCGGACAAAATAAAAAAAAGATTAGTTCCAGCAGAATCATCGTCATCAGCGTCGCCCTCATATGCATCATCTTCAGTATCGGAGACGTTGTCATCGTCGTCTACGTCAGCATCGTCTACGTCTGCGTCATCTACGTCTGCGTCTGCAACATCATCGATGCCTTCGTTCGACATTTTACAACATGATGAGGCAATTGATTTGTCTACTAAGGTAAGAAAACACTTATATTTATTATAAAATTTATATATTTTATGCGTTTATTTTAAACAAAATTAATTAATATTTTTAATATTTTACAGAGAACTGTGCCGAAGAAGCCACAAATCAAGAGTAGTGAGGCTATTCGGCGTAGAATAATTATGATTCCAGCTGAACCGACAACGCGAAAGCCGACTCGCCCCCTCAAGGTAGTAGGAACGCATAAGAAGAAAGAAGACAAAATAAAATAAAATAATATTGTTTTTGTAATTATTAATATAAATTTTGAATAAAATAAATTAAAATAAATAAAATGCTTAATTTTTTTAATTAGAGAGAGGGAGAGAAAGAAGTGAGAGAGTGAGAGAACTAGTGGTAGAGAGATAGAGAGAGGGAGAGAGAGAGTTACATATGCTGTTATGATTAGGTATTATATATTTAAAATTAAATTATACAGGCCAACAAATCTCAGAACCTGAGACCGGACCTAGTGTACCCGAAGTATTTTGGTGCGCTGAAAACGAATCCGAGCTCAGAATTTAGCCTATACGCCTGAGTTGCGAGATATCCTAACCTAAAAGTGCAAAAAACACCGTTTTTTGCTATTTTTGAGGTTACATAGCATCTTGAATAAATTTTTTTTTCCAAAACGAGTAGAAGCATCACAAAGAAGCACTCTTGTCCTTTGAAATCCATTTTTCAGATTCAAGATGGCTTTTCTTTTCGTCGAGATATCATTGATTGAAGTTAAATATATTCGGAGTTTTGTAACAACGTTAAAACAGCCTATGTAGCATATGTGAGGCTATAAGCCCAATTTATAAGTGATCGTATTCGATCGAAAAAATCTATATATGGGTTTTTGAGGTTGCTGTTAAAGAATATAAGGACAGATTTTGAAAATTCAAAATGGCGGATCCAATATGGCACACCTAAAATTTTATGTGATCTCATTCGACCGAAAAAATGTATACATGTGTTTTTGGGGTCACTGATCACGAATACGAAGTCAGATTTTGAAACTGAGGCAACCCTAAACCCTGTAACCTGCGAGGCTATAACCCCAAACCCTCTAACCCCAATTTCCTTAACCCCCGAACCTTGTAACCTGCGACCCTGTAACCCCAAACCCTCTGACCCCAATTTCCTTAACCCCCGAACCCTGTAACCTGCGAGGCTATAACCTCAAACCCCGTGAACCCAATTTCCTTAACCCCCGAACCTTGTAACCTGCGACCCTATAACCCCAAACCCTCTAACCCCAATTTCCTTAACCCCCGGGCCCTGTAACCTGCGACCCCAAGACGCTACTCCTCCGCTTACTCAACCCACAAACCCAGTATCTTGCCGTCCTAGAGTCCAAAACCTTTATATCTACCGTGCGATTATGAGGAAACTGGCCATAGGCCATCCCGTGTTACCATTTAGTTTACATGGAAAAGCAGGTAGGTGACCTGAAAAGACCCCCTGCAATTTATACCTGCTTTCCCATATAAACTAAATGGCAACACGGGATGGCCTATGGCCAGTTTCCTCATAATCACACGGTATATCATACTTTAGTTTTGGTTATGTCACCAACCAATAGTTGACAATTGAAATGTTATTTCCAACATTGTCTGAAAATTACATGACTCCATATGCTAAACATTGTAAAAAATACTCAACTTAATCGATTTTCAATTTTTTTTATCATAACTTTACTAGAGTTGGATCATGAGACTTGATTTTCTTAGAATATTCAAAAATGTGATAAATTTTAAGTTATCATAAATTAGAAATCACGTTTCAGTTACAGACTGAAAGTGTTATCCGCTGGTTCAAATTGTGATCATTGTTCAGAAAATTTTTTCTTCTTCGAGGTTGCTCTGGAATAGTAAGCTGACAGTTTAAGAGATATATGAAAACACTCGTTTCTTTTTATTCCTTCCGTGTTAGAGATCACGTTTGAGTGGCAGCCTAACGGTTCGGTGCACATGAGAAAAAGTGTATTACTAGCAATATTTCAGTAGCATAGAAAAATTGATAGAAGGAGTTTCGCCTCTAGAATATTTTAACTACGCGATTGATTTGAATACTCGATTTACAAGATATCACGTTTGAGGTACAGGCTAAAATTTACAGCCACCGGTTTGAATACCTTTTGGAAGTCTTTTCAACTTCGAAGTTACTCCGAAATGCTAGGCTAAAGAAATTTTATGTTTTTTTAGTTCCTTCCGTGTTAGAGATCACGTTTGAGTGGCGGGCTAACGGTTGGATGCATACGTGAGATTGATATTGGTATAGTTTTTTACTAGCATTTTCTCTTCATTAGAAATTTATTTATAAGTGCGAGTGTGTGATTAAAAATTGTGGAAAAGGTCTCTTTGAATAGGTAGTTGGTCCAATATATTTTCTCGTGTTGGAGATCCGGCTAACTTGTTGATTCTGTGTGAATGGTAATTATCAAAGTTCATCATTCCGTAAGACAAATTACCGAAAGATACATTTAATTATTATGTTATTATTTAATTTACTATTTACAATGAGTTCGCGAGTTTCTTGTT